TCCTTACCAAAAGAATACATATGCAATATTAAAAGCTAACCAAATTTGCTGGATCCTTTCAAAAAGAAATACACACATATATATATATGTAAAGCTGAACATGATTTTCTGTGTCTGAACCCAGCTTCCACCTGTTGCTGTACATTTCCAGGAATCACATGATTGGGTCCAAGATGGAATACCAATCTTTTTTTTTTTAAATATATTTTATTGATTTTTTACAGAGAGGAAGGGAAAGGGATAGAGAGCCAGAAACATCGATGAGAGAGAAACATCGATCAGCTGCCTCCTGCACATCCCCTACTGGGGATGTGCCCGCAACCCAGGTACATGCCCCTGACCGGAATCGAACCCGGGACCCTTCAGTCCACAAGCCGATGCTCTATCCACTGAGCCAAACCGGTTTCGGCAGAATACCAATCTTTTCCTTCACCCAATCCCATCTCATTTCTCATTTATGTTATATCTCAGGGTCTCAAACCCTGAGGCTGCTGAAGTCTCCATCCAATGACTAGACTTATCACTGAACAATGGGTCACCCCAAGGGAAGTGGCTTCTCTAGAAAACAATGATCCAAATTTTATTTGCAATTTTGCTTTATACTCATGCTTTTGTAAGTACTTTGCATCTCTATATATCTGTATATTTATAATTATTTGCATATACAAAGTATCAGAAAGATCTGAACTGAAATGTTAATTGTGCTTATTTCCTAGCATAGATTTAGGTGATTTTATTTTTTTCTTACTATATTTTTGCTGGTCTCGGTTTCCACTTTTTCTTTTTCTATATTAAGTGTAACTTTTGGCCAAAGAAAAATAAATAAAATTCTATACGTGTTTTTTTTTGTTTTGTTTTGTTTTTACTCAACCTCATTTCAAAAAGGATTTACAGTACCTGCCAAAAAAAAAAAAAAAGCAACAAGTACAAAAAGACTTTTTTTCAAGCTGGGCACTTAGTGACAAGGGCAAGAAACAAGAGCAATAATCTCTGAAGAAGCCAAAGGTTAAAGCTATTAGCCGCAGGCAGCCCTAATGTCTTGCATGCTGGCCAAGGGGAGGCACACAGGGCTCTGTGTTTCTTGGCGTCCATGGACCACTCCTCCCCAGCCTCCTTACCTCAATCCACCAGTTCTAATTAAGTTTTGTTTAGGGAAAGATAATGAGAATACTTTTCTACATTTCCTGATCATACTCCCAGATGAGATCATGCAATCCAGAAATGTGTTGAGGGAGGAGGCGCTGGCTGCAAACACAAGCAGGAGAATGGAAATGCCTACCCTATTGCTCCCAGCGCTGAGTGTCAGTGTGTACCAGAGCTGAGACATTCCCAAGGGACACTGCTTAAACTTTTTAAAAGTGTCCCTCTGTGAGCAATTCACTGCCACTAAGGCAATGGCAAGGAACACACTCACTCCACGACAAGACCAAGTCTGAGAGCCTCTGGGGTCCTTTGGAAGCAAAATCACGCTGGGTCAAGCAGCCCCCAAGGTGCAGCACTTACCGTAAGCGGTCATGACCCCAGCATACGGCCCGTCCACCACATTCTTGTTTTCCTCCGCCAGCGCTTTGATGTACCTCTTGCTGAGGTCCAGGATCTGCTCACGCAGCATGGAGCTGCTCTCGGGCTGAGTCCGCTGCTGGATGGTAAAATGCAGGAGCATCATGCCCCAAATAAAACCAAAAGTCACGAGGAAAAAGCCCAGCTTCTGCGAGGACAACTTCCATGGAGTGAAGAGAGCCATTGCTCTCTGGCGACTTCACCTGCCGCTGGCTCTTAAAGCGCAGAAGGGAGGCCCGGGCTCATGGTGGGCTCGGCCGTCTCACTCCGGCTCCTGCGTCTGCCGATTTCCTCTCCTCTCTTCCATCCTGCTGTGGAGGAGGAGAAAAGTTAGCTCAGCGGTCATGGCAAAACACGGTAAAACAAACCAGAGCCCTGTTTTCACTCAAATTAGCTCTAAACTGAGAACTTCCTTTTTCTTAGTTTGCCGGTTCGGTATGGTATCTTACGGTTCTTGATCTGCAAGCTAAGAGGGGAAATCTGGCAAGGCGACAAAAAGCTGTACAAATACGGAGGAGGAAACGGGCGCCTGAGTGTGTTAACAGGTGTAGCAGGGCTGTTCCAGCCTGGATCAAGTTCAAAACAGGAAGTCTGTTGTGCAAGGTGGGGAGGAGATGGAAGGATATTTGACTGAATGTCAGCAGAAACCCAAGTGGAGGGTGGAGTCCTATCACCGCCCGGCACTTTTGTGCATATGTAAGGTGAGCTTACAAAGTCATTGTTCTATGCTTTGGAGAGGATCAGAGCATGCAGCTGGAGAGGTGAGCAAGAAAGTGGATGCCCCTCAGGGGGAATGGGACGGGGGGGGGGAGCCCCCCCATTACTTAGGCATGGCCAGCTTTCATTAGCAACGTCCAGAGATGAGCTTTCTCTCTCAGGGCCACCCGGTGGCCTCTCCCAGGCACCAGCACACAGGCTATGCCAGGGGTAATGCCCAGCAGTCTTTCCGTTCTAGCTACCGTGAGTGAAAGCTGCTCGCACTTTTCACTCCCACACTTCGGCACAGGAAGCGTGGGGCACGCGACAGCCTGCTTTCCTGTGGCTGTTTCATTCATATCTGGCAAAGTGAGGTTAAAGGGCATAGTTTCCTTTGCTCATCACATAGTGAGGAATACAGGACGCTGCAGGGGCAGTAAACCAGACCCTGCCTCCCTGTGCCCCCACTCCCACCAGCCCAGCCAGTTCATCCACAGCCCAGAATGGCTCATACATGCTAAAAGGGTTGCGAAAAGCGACTAAGAAGATGTGACAGAAATCCGATGTAGCTCAAAGGCCTAAAACATTTACTATTGGCACTTAGCAGAAAATTCTAGGCCAGTGGTTTTCAAAGTGGGGTCTCTAACTCAGCAGCAACAGGAGCAAGGTGAGAAGTGCAAATCTCGGGCTCACTGCAGGCCTGCTGAGTCAGCAATGCTGGGGGCAGGCGGAGGGAGACAGCAGCCTGTGCTCCAACAAGTCCTCAGGGTGGTTCTGCTGCTGCTCAAATTCAAGAGCCCCTGATGCAGGCAGAGGGCTGCCCTCATTGTGCCACACCACCACACTGCCAACACCAGGTGGCCTGAATTCCACTGGCACTACTGGATCACCGCTGTCAGTTCCTCCATGCCATCGTGCCCTTGGCACTGCTGGTCTGCCATCACCGCAGCCCTGCAGATGGTCGCAGGCTCCTGTCTTCACTGACCTACTCCCCCACCTGCTGGCCTTGCCCGGTCACACTGACAATCCAGACTTCCCCATTCCTGCAGCCCCACCAGCATCAGACCACCTTCCCCACTGCGCCAGCCTAGGGGGCTCCCTCCTGGTCTGCAGGTTTAGGACACTGTCTGCCGGCCTTGGCTGTTCCTGTGTGCGACCCCAGAGGACCCTCTAAGGGACTCTCCTGCATATTTTCTCGGGCACAAGAAAATAGCTGGGGACTAAGTGAAGAGTCATCTGGGCACCATGCCCTTGATTCTGCCCCTCTAAGTGCAGACCAGCTGGACAGCACCTGCCATGGCTTCTTCCTACATCAGTTCCACAAGCAGATGCTGAGCACTCCGGCCACCCACCGGCCCTGGGGACCAAGCAATGAATAGGACAGGGTTCCCGCCCTCGAGGGGCTGATGTCTAGAAGTCATTCAGCTGACTGGGTGCTGCCCCAGGTCCTCTGGAAGTGGCCACACTTCCTTCGCGATAACCGAGGCCAGTGAGTGGATTTCACATCAGGGCTGCAGGGATTTTCCCCAGAGAGTGCAGGAGGTGCTCTACCAAGAAAGACAGTCTGGGGGCCCTACCAAGAAACCCAGATGCTGACAGGAATTACCTGTCCCCATTCAGACAGGAAGTCACTCTGCTTCCTCGATTAATCTCTTGAGGGCACTGCTCAAAGTTGCAGCAAGCAAAGAAAAGGCCAAGGGCCAAAGGCATCAATAGAAGGGGGCACTTCTCTGCCGTGGCCTCGGGGCAAGTCGGAATCACCCAGGGGTGCATTCAGGGGGCAAATAGGTGGTCCAGAAACTCAGCCCAGGTCAAATAATTCCAGCTCAGTCATACAAATTTGAAGTGAAAATCCCTGTCTCTGAGTTTAGAATGCAGTTCTGGATATTGTGGGCCTAGATTATAAGTGACTATAGAAAGACCAGAAATATTCTTTTCTCCAGTGGCATCTATAGCTTGAAATAACTGCAACTTTGTCAGCACACAAACAGCACACACAGAGAATTAGAATTCATCTACACAATTCCTTTTGAAAGATTGAATTTTTAAAAGACTTTGCAAAACTATTATTCGAGAGGCACCCCTATCATCTATAGTAATAGGAGGCCTTAGTCCTCACCGGAGGGTTGTGGTGTCATGGAAAGACCTAATGATGATCATCAGTAATGACCCCACAATTAATCAAGAGGCCACAGAACAACAGTGATTAAAAAGTGGTCTATCGGGCCAAGAATCTGCCTGCTCCGGGCCTTCCAACAGCTGGAGCCTCCAGCCAAGTGGATCTGACAGGCACAGAGAGGACGAGATGTGTATCTCTGAAGCCTTGTTGCCAACCTGAGCGATGACAACCCAGGGCCAGGACTTTGTCCGTTCTCCTCCAGAAAGAAGTTTACAGCGAGTCTGTTCGCAGCAAGTCAAGCTGCCAGATCAGTCGCTGCCACTAGCCACCCTCACACATTTCCTCTATTCCTGTGCTTCCTGAAAGAGCAACGTTCACTTCCTTTCCCCATTGACTCCTCAGCACAATATCTGGCTCCACCTTCCCAAACATGGTCAAAGATCTTTGGCAAGGAAATGTGTCAGTTCTCTTCATTCAAAAAATAAAGGCACATGTAAAGCTGCTCAACATCAATAGCCATTAGAGAAATGCAAACAAAACCACAACGATATGCCAGTTCACACTCATTAGCATGGCTATCATTGAAAAAGACGTAAGAACAAGTGTTGAGGATGTTGGTGGGGATGGACAGGGTGCAGCTGGTGTGCAAAGTAGTTTGGCAGTTGCTCAAATGGCGAAGCCCACAGTTCCCATGTTGCCCAGACAACTCTGCTCCTAGGAATTCGCCCATGAAAAATGAAGACATATGTCCACAGTAAAATCTGTGCACTAACGTTCATGGGAGCACTATTCATAATAGATTAAAAAAAATGAAAAAACCCAAATGTCCATCAATTGGCAAATGGATAAGCAAAATGTGGTATAGTCATACAATGGAATACTGTCAATAAAAAGGAATGAAGTACTGATACCATGCTACAACAGGGATGATCCCTGAAAACATTATGGGAAGTGAAAAAAGGCAGTCACAAAAGAGCACTCTTGACTCCATTTATATAAAACTACAGGCCCGATGCATGCAATTCGCACATGGGTGCGGTCCCTAGGCCTGGCAGGGGATCAAAGTGTGAGCGTCTGGCATGGAAGGGCAGGTCCCAGCTGACCTCTGGGCAGCACCTGGGCCCTCAGGCCCCCATCCCCCTGAGTCATGGCTCCCGAGTCCCCACGTGGAGATGCGGTGAGTGTGGCCAGGAGCAGCGAGGGCCTCTGGGCAGCCCAGCAGCGCTGCACGGAAGCCGGACAGGCACCAGCTCTCTCCTGGCTGGCCTCGCAGACCGGCTCCTGTGTGAACCCACAGGGAGCCCAACCAGTCCCTGTGGTCCGGGTGGCTGCGGCCCAGGTCACCAAAAAAGGCTGCTCGGGTGTGGGGCGGGCTCCTCACAGGCACCCGGCACCTGAGTGTGGGGGCTTCTCTGGTGCGTGAGCCCTGGTGTCCCGGGGGAGAGTAGCAGAGGGAGTGAAAGGAAGCTTGGTGGACACCCCACATTCTCACTGCACCTCCATAACCATCACTCCCGCCCCCAGGTAGCCGGTGAGAGGTCGCAGCCCCCCACCTGGGCGCCACGGGAGGTTGGTCGCCACCACCCACCCCCATTTCCCCGTCCCAGCCTGGGGCTCAGCCCCAATCAGGTGATCAGGGCCTGGCGGCCACTGGTCATTGTCTGCAGGGCAATCGGTTGGGGCCAGGCCCCCTCCACCCCTGGCTCCCTCAACGCCTGGAAGCCGGGTGGGGGCCCCATCCCCCGCTGCCGCTGCTGGTCACCAGCTGTGGGGCCATTGGGCCCCCACTCGCACCCACCTTGGCCTGGCGCCACCCGCTCACCTGCTCCACCATCCTGCCACGGTCTCACTCTCATCGGAGCCCATCGGGGCCGGCAGCGCCTCCACAGCCACCCACTGCCAGCTCCATATCACCAACACCCATATCACCATGTTCCATGCTGC